TTTTTTTTAAAAATTTTTTTTAAAAAAAAAAAAAAAAAAAAAAAAAAAAACGTTAAAAAGACTAAACAAAAAGTAAATTAGAATATTCGTTTGTTGAACAAAAATAAGTAAATGTTAAAATGACGTGAGATACACAGAAACAAAACGCGTTTTTTAAATATATATTTTTTATTTACACAAACCTTAAAAATATCTCCAAAAAAGGCAAAGGCAAAAAAAAAACGCTTTGTATAATAGTGGTGATGGCTTGTACTTTTATTTCTATTTTATGCAAAGATTTTTTTTTTTAAAACTTAGCTAAATTAAAGATAAAAATGGAGTGCAATGAGTGGAAAATAAAGAATAAAATAAAGAATAGAATAGAATAAAGAATAAAAATATTGGAAAAAAAAATAAAATTGGAAAAAGACGTGGAGATAAATAAGAAGCAATTACTTTGCTGTGTTACATATAAAAAATAATGCCTTTTCACCCTCCAAGTAGAAAAGCAATGAAAAATTTTGCATGAATATAAAGACTTATAAGTCTAAGCTAGCCTATTCCACTACTACAATTATCGTCACTAGTGATGTCATTAGCATATTTATAATTATTTGTATTAAATTACAAATAGCAATATCATTAATCACAGCTAAATACGATTATCTTTATCTTTAGCTCATTTCAAGTTTGTATAAATAAATAAGATGTTGTGAAGACAATTTTACTTTATAATAATTTTTTTTTTTTTTTTGCATCAATTATCGTATTTAGCATATATTTTTGATCTAGAAATTATGCTTGTTTCTGCAAATATGATAGTAATCTAATCTATGCTAGTATAAATACCTGAGAATATGATAATTTTTCGTAATGACTAAGACAGCTAATTTTTAATTGAGATTTTTGTATACTAAATGCTGGAAACGTTTAAATTTCAGTTTTTTTTTATTTGAAAAATTATTAAACTTGAAAAAAAGCTTAATGCGATACATTTAAAAGCTATAATTAGTCGTTATCTTGAATAAAATTCTACTCATAATGAATGCAATACAAAACTAATTAATAAGCTAGAAGAGCACCTGTAGACATGCCCAAATAAGGAAAATAAGTAAAATTTAACTAAGTTTTGGGGGATTTGCTCGATATTAGCACTATTTGCTTCAAATTACAGCAACAAAAGCAACAACAAGCAAGAAAACAATTTGCCTGCTTTGCATATTTTGCTATTTTATGTTTGCTTGCATTATTGATTTATGCAAATTTTTCAAACTATTTTTGCAGGTATATTTTGTTAAAATCTTTAAATAATGCCCTATATTCTTGTCAAATTTTACTTCAAACAAGCATCAAATAGTATGAAATTTACTCTGTACATTTACTGTATGTTTATACATCAGTCATATCATATTTTATTTAATCTCCAAAATTTTATGTCTTATAACGTTTGCAGCGTACTTTAATAATAAATTAAGTGGTAATAATTTACTTGCAAGTTTAAATGCTACGTTACTTATAGGTCAAAGTAAAAGTTTTTAAAAGAATAATCTTTTAAATAATTAAATTACCTTTTATGTAATTAGAAAAAATATGCTAATGCTCTTTCTTCTTCAGAACTTCATATTTGCATATAATTTATACTTGTTTCATTCATTAAATAAACTTGCAGTATATAATTGTACTGAGCTAGTACCACTACAAAATACTTTCTCGTACTTGTGAAAAACTGCATCATAATAATAATAATAATTATTATTATTATTCGAATTTTAGATTTAAATAAGCAAAAAAGACAGAGGTCAAAGTGCAGCTACTTCAAGGCAGTGAGCAACGAATATTGGACTATTTTACAATGAAAATGACTTTATTGCAATTATTTTTGTTATATGCAAAAAATAGCAAAAAAAAAAGCAATTCCAAACTAACAATCGAATTTGTCATAGTGAACTTGTCCAAGTTAAGTTATTTCATCTTCTGCTCTTTGCATAAGTTTTATTTAAGTGTTGACAAAGTATTTACTTACTTACTTACTCACCTACTTCCTTCTACAATTATACTTCATTTGCATAATTTATTCACTTCACTAAGAGTAAGACAATTGTGAACAAGTACTTGCTTAAATATAGAAAATTTATCAGCCAGCCTAAGTTGAATAATTTTGACAATTTGGTCACTCATTTAAATTAATAATTAAAACGTAAATAATTTATTATTAAATTAAAAAACTTAGCATAATGTGAAGTTTTTGATCAGTAATAAAAATAGAAAACAATAAAACTATACAGAGCGAAATTACATGGTTGAATTGAAACTCATATGGGTTAGTGCTACTTTTATTATTAATACAGTTATTCAAGAAAGTATATATTAATACAGTTATTCAAGAAAGTATATATTAATACAGTTATTCAAGAAAGTATGTATCAATACAGTTATTCAAGAAAGTATATGATAGAAAGTATATAAAAAAATTTAAATACAAAAGAAACGTATAATTTGAATACAAAAGAAAATAAAATAAAACAATAAGTCACTTTTTTAAATAAATATGCTAATATAAAAAATGAATTATAAAAAGGATTATAAGTAATATGCACTTGTTTTACCATTTAACTAAAGTACTAATTACAAAATTAGTCGTAGCGTATTAACGCTAAAAAATATTAAAAATAGAATAAAGTTAAATTATTAGACTGATATGCATATTTGATATTTTTAGTTAAAAATGTATAATAATTTAGCTAAAAGAGATGCAAAATTGAAGTATAAAGAGTGAAAAAGAAAAAAAAATTATGGAATTTTTTTGCTAGACTAGTCTAAGTCTAATGCTAGATCAGTATTCCAAGAAAGCCAAGTCAAAGCTAGTCTCGGGACTTTTCTTGTCAACGTCTTTGCTTGCTCCCTTCCTAATCAATACTTGATGAGTAAGTAATAGTACGTAGTAGTCTATAAAACTTTGTTCACATCCAAAAATATGCTTCACAAATGCAAAGTAAAATTTTTTACATAACTAATTTTTTTTAAATTTAATTCCTTAATTTTTACATATATACTAATAATTACAATGGGATTCAAAGACGTACTACTTCTTGGTTAATGCATGATTACTTAACTCACTTACTCATTTACTTACTTACTTATAATACTTATTTGTTAATATCAATAAATTGATACATCAGTATATGTATGCACTTCTTTCTGTATGTAAATTTGTTTATCTGCGATTCACATTTTGATATATTAAACTATAAAATGTACAATTCCCTATTTCAAATTACAAAAAATAATCCACAAGAGTAAAACAACTTTATATTTAACATCATCTCAATTTGTACTCAATTAATAGCGTATTAAATCTCTTTAACAGATTTAGTACAAATTTTTTATGCTTATATCGTAATTTACTGTAACAAATTTATACAGTACCTATTAATTGTCATATTGTTCTTCTCTATTTGTGCATGCGCAAGTTTTCATCAAAGCTTATTTCAAACAAATGACACGCAAGAAAGCAGTTAGAATTATCTTCTTAGATAAACTGATACTAGTAATTGGAGTAATTTGTCAAATTCCCATCGTATCAAAGGTATTTGAAAACTATCTATACCAGCCAGCTTTTATTAGCTAACAAAATATGCTAATTATGATTAATATAGAACAATAACTTTCAAACTGCTACATTTTATCAGACAATCTTAGCTAACAATTCGCAATTTTGATTATTTTTTCGCAGATTTTATTCGCAACGCCCACAGTTACTCTATATATAGTAGCATTTTGTTCACGTTTACTTATATTGCCAAATTTGTAACAGTCTTTCTTTTTGCATAATAAAAAAAGCTTATAAACTTTGCTTAGCATTTAAACATTCCATTTAATATCTTTTTCGCAAGCTGAAAATAGAACGACGATGCATGACAGCAACAATTACTGGCAATAAAAACTTTCATCTACTATTAACAGCTTAATCACTGCCACAAGCCACCACAACACTCATATTTGTTCCATTTTACGCATTTCGTATGCAATATCTATAAATTTACTATTATTATTGCCATTAATACTACTATTATTACTGCTACTATTATTATTATTACTATTATTGCTGTTATTGCTACTAGCACTGCCATGCTGATGCAGCATCAAATTCAATTCTATATTGGTAGAATGCTCAGCAATATGAGGGAGTATTTATTTCAGACGCAAACGTTCTAATTTACACGCAACTGCAGTTATTTTTTCAATCTCTTGAATCAGTTTACATAACATTTCATAATCCAATACAAAAATCTCCTCGTCATCCTCCTCGCAAAAGCCAGTACCACCAGTGTTGTCAATTTTGCCAACACGAAGCCAAAATTGAAGCATCACATCCGGCGACCGTAATAGTGCCATTCGACCAATCTGTATGTATACACATAAATATGTATTATTTTCATCTTTTTTAACTTTCAATATAAAGATTATTATATCACTTAATTATTTAACTTACCTACTAAAGATATATTATAAATAACAAGGGTAATTTAAGCCTGCTTCATTGCTTAGTTGATGGATAGTTTGCTCACCTTAAATTCTCAAAATTTCTAAATCATAATCTCATAAGAGTTTTTTTTGCTAACATTTTTATACTAAAATTTACTTGAAACACTGAAACTTCGAAAAAAGATTTGAACACAAAGTTCAGTGCTCCACAAAAAGTTGAAATTTTTATAAACCATTAAGTTGGAACACTGATTCTCAATCAACTGTCCATATATAAATTTAGAAAAAATGGCTAAAAGTATATCATGTACATAAAGCTTTCGTCTATTTCAACAGCACTGTACACTTCTTGGAGTTACTAAATTTTGTAGACATATTATTTTTTTAAAGTTTGTTTGGATACAAAAAAACTAACTATCCGACATGCATTATATTGTAGTCCATTGGTCAGTTTTTTGATGCTTTACAAATTATACAAAGACGTTTCTTTCTTAAATATACACAACTCATATGAATGAACAACAGATTGAGAGTTAATATTTGAAACAGAAAGCAAAAATCTGAAAGTTGACTGAAAGTAGCGGAGAAAGCAAACGACTGTAGTTCAAAAACTCATGAATAAGCTTCCAAGCTCCATCCCACGTTTAATGGATTATAAATTCACCAAGTGAATTTGTTAGTTTCAAACCAGTACTTAAAAAAATAGAAAAGTAAAAAATGTGTTTACAAACTCTTAGTAATTCTAAAAAGTGCAACATTAATCTTCAAATAAATGAAACCTTTATGTATATGAGAAGCACTTACATCCTGAAAAAAAAAATTCACAATTGTGAACATTTTTATTTAGTCCAAAAAGAAAATCTTATTATGTGGCTTACATGTATGTTATGCTAAATGATTTTTGATCTATTGCTATATCCCTTTTAAAAATTTGAGATTATACAGCTATATCAACTTTTTGTAATTTGCATAATAAAAAACTGTTACAAGTGCTCACAAGATGTAGTGAAAAAAAAGACAACTGAATAATGGCATAATGCAAGATTAATTTTAAAAATTTAAATAAACACTGAAATAGTCTTTTAGTTTTCATAAAATAGTACCACTGTTTTTCAATCCAACTTGCATTACAAACATCTGGAAATAAAACTACAAAATTGATGAGTAAACCATGCAAAATAAAATATTTCCACGGTATTTATTCCATGCCAGTCACTACCCTACAAATCCCAACTATTTGCTCTATCATTTTCAGTATATAATTTCGATTTCATGTATATTAAATGCGAAAAACAAAAAAATGAATGAGAACATATATGAATGAATAGATTGAATTTATGGATGGGTTAAATTAGATAGATGCAAACACAGACATATAGATAGATAGAATAATAAATAAATAAATGGATAAATAGAAAGTTGAATGCATCAATATCAGATGTAAAGTTTTGCTTATTAAATGCAATAAGCAGAAAGCTGATAAGAGACGAACCAAATTCTGATATATTAAATTAAAAAAAAATGCATGAATGAATAAAAGAATGATTTGTGTCAGCTATAATGATAAGCGTAAAAGGCAAAAGGATCAGTAAAAGTAGGCGAAAATTGCTTACATAATCATTACTGAACTGAAAGAGTAAATGAACCAAAATGTTTTTCAGTACAAAATGAGCAAAAAAGCTTTAAGAGAGAGTTGAAAAAAAAAAAAATAGAAAATTATTACTGCCTCTTTTCATCCATACATTTTCAACTAATTTTCCATCCATCAAATAACTCATTTTGGGATGACGAATTGCAATGAATGCATTGAAGCTGTCAATATTTCTAGCAGAAACAAACCATGAGTAAACTTGAAACAACCCTCGATGACTAATTTTTCGAGATTCGAAGAACCTTACTGACTGCTTCAACAACTTCCTCAAGCATTGCAACCACGAGCATCTGTTGCTTTAATCATACTGCAAATTGCAAACTTTTGTAAATTTTGTACTTTCTAATCAGGAAGATTGAACTTGCGACTGATAAGTTTGTGTTGTTTGATAAGTTGAATTTTAAGATAAAAAGAAAGAAATTTATGATAAAAAAATAGAAGATATTTTAGCATGTAAAAATTTCATATAGGTTAACATTTTTAAACTCCATCTGTCAAGTTTCATTACGAAAAACGCAGTTAAGATTATCTAAGAAAAAATTGACTTAAAAAAATGACAACTTCCTGATTAAAAAGTACAACAGTTTACTACTTTTTTTATATCTATTTTTATCTACATTTTCAACAAATATTCCTCATATTCACCAAACCTTCAATTCACTCAAAAATAAACCTCAATCATAAATTTAATCACTTACCTCAACTACCGAAATCTACCTACTTCCTGATTTATTTAACAAAAATTTATGCCAACAGCAGAGCTAATTTTAGTAACATGTAGCAAAGCTTAAAAAAACTAAGTGTGAGTAGAAATTTTCAAAATTAAAATCACAGATTTTTAGCTATATCTTTGCAACACTGCTCAATCTTTTAGAAGTACTCTTTTTTCAAACATTTTAAATTGTAATTCACTTTGACGAATATTTTAGTAATTGAAGTGCTGAAAATGAAATGAACAGAATTTTCATTTTCAAACTAGTTTAGTCAACTAAAATGCTGCCAAAATTAAAATTAAAATCAATTTCTTAATGCATATTCTAATAAGGCATAACAGTTTTAAAAAGGCTCACAGAAACTTCAACCAATCAGATTTTTATTCCTTGAAAACTAATTACTTTGCAAGTCACACAATGACTAAATGAGCATTTGAAAGAATTAGTAGTTATTATGGTGCTTAAAGATACAGATTAATATGACCAAGCAAGCAATACTATAAATTTATTCATGAATATACATGTAATGTTTCATTTCAATCTTAATTATGAAAATTAAACTCACTCCTCAAGAATATTTTATCTCAACTTGACTGTAACAGAAAATAATAACTATAATTTGATACTGTTAATTTTATGAGACAAGGAAAGTACAACAAGATACTACCGTGATTTGAAGCCGACAATTTAAGGATCGAAACGGCGCAAACTTTGATGGAGCATTAGCAATTTCAAGCTTGTTTTCTTGTTCAGTTTTCGCAAAATTTATGATTTGTTGGATAAGTTCATCGTTCGATGTACTTTTTTTAAGTCGATTATGAAGTACAGAAGTAGTGAGCTAAAAATTGAAAAAATCATAAAAAAGACAAAAATTAACCATTGAAAGATCATTTAAAAGTTCAGAAGAATGAAGTAAAAAGAATTAAAGTGTCAAAATTTACACTCATATTTTCTGGATGTTTGAACGAATGGTGGAAAAATAATTAACTTTTTAAATCTGTCTGCAACAACAACTGCAAATAAAAGACTTAAAACATTTAACTAATGTAAAGATGCAGGAATGAAGAATCATAACAAATAACATGCTTTACATGCTTCACCTTAATAATGATATGAATATTAATAATATTTACACAGAAATATATATCCTACAGACCTTATTATTATGTACATATTCGCGCATCTTTATAAGACAGTTGAAACAACGCCACAGGTCAGCTGAAGGCAAATTAGCCCGAGCTGAAATCCATAATCAAGTAACCAAACTTTTTTCTTAGATAAGACCGCATCGAACTACTTCCTCAAGTGAAATCGGTTTTAAACTTTCCAAATTTGGTAGCTTGAAGAGTTTTATCCAGCCTTACCTCCTAACGCATTACTATAAAACGTCAAGCCATGCTTGCTTTAGTACTAAAGTAGCTAATATATTCTCACAGTAAACCCTTAAACTTATAACGATCAAGAAAAGGCGAGATTCAAAGTGATAATATGCAATTCTGTACAGTTTTTGAAGTGAAATTTTATGAGTATTACATAACTAGACAATTTCAAATTTTCGAATAAAGAATGTACACCTACATTTACTTCAGATATCTGACACATTTTTTTCGCGAGATTTGTAGCCTTTTTCTAATTGCTAAAAAATTGATAGTGAATTACATTAAACAAAAAATCATGAAAAATGATTATTCTACCTGCGAGGAAGTCAACATTGCTGGTGATTAAGTGCTTCTGATCTAAAGACTTTATGCAATCCATTATTGAATTCCAAACTGCAATAAATTAATATGCAATAATACTTATGAAAGAAGTAGAACAGCAATTTGAGAAGCAGATTGATGTACAAATTTTTTACACGAGATCAAATTTGTTCGCGTTTTACTTTTGAAAGGTCAATATTTGCAATTGTTCTAATGACCAATACTACTTTAATAGAATGAGCAACATGAGTGTTAGAAGGTACATATATAAAATACACAACTTTTTAGGAATGTCTTTACTTCTTTAACAATAAAAGAATGAGAAAAATGAAGAGTAATTACCTTCAGGTTCCTTAACGTCAAGGAATAACAACAGCGGAGCAATAAGAGTATCCAAATTTTCCTCGGATAATACCAAATTAAAATCCATATTATTTTAGCCCTAAATTTGATATTTTTCTTTCGAAAATCATTCTTTACCACTTACACATGAAACTCTACATGCAACAGTTCAAGTAAATTAAATTAAATGCTAAAGTCAAACAAACACAAATCAGTTTTGTCATTCTGACCAATGCGAAAACTGGGATCTCACGATGGCTACTCCATAATATTGTATTTTCCGTAGAAATCTGGAAATGCTCTTCCCTGCACCAGAATACTCGTCCTCATCACTCAGATTCTATTTCAGTCAGAATTTCTTAAATTCTCAAATATTACGAATTTACCCCTCTCAGAAATTTTGTACTTCAAGTGATGCAAATGACATCTGAAACTCCACTAATGATTTGCAGTTATTTTTCTCATAACAAGAACTGTTGTTAATAAAATATTTACTTTGCATTCGCTGAATTCTCAGAATTTATTTTTATTACTTAGATTTTAAATCCTGCCTGCTATTACACTTCCATTTTTTTCCAAAGCTAATTGTATGATTTGATGTCATAAATTGTTTGTTAAAGTTTATCATGCATTAATGGATTATGGTGATACATTAAAATAAGTCTTAAAAGCATAATAAATTTATTATTTTCTCTTTTATGTATTAATTAGTTTAAACAAAAAACAACAAGAAATGAATTATTATATTTGACAAATACTTTTATGCATAAATGTAATCAAGCAACTTTTAAATATTCATTCAGTTCATTAATCATACAAATGTAACATTCCACTTTATTCTTCATATTTATTCAGTGTCATTTTCAGGTATTTACAATTCGTCGTGCTTAATTAATTTATGAAGTTCAATGTCGAAGTACAAGTCTGCTTTACCAGGTATTGATGGTTTCCGACCATCAGCACCATATCCTAAACCAAATACATGATGTTATACCTTTAAGAACAATTAAATTTGAAAGTCATTTGTCTGTACCAAGCTTTATAAAATATAGAAACTATCAGCTATGCCAATGTGCGACAAAATATATCGCGATTAGCATATTGTGTTATTTGTTTACTAATTTAAATTAAGCTTATAACCTAATTTCCAAGGAATAACAACTTTTCGTCTTTCGCCTTCGCACATGCCTGTCATTGCTCGATCCATACCTTCAATTACCTGTAAAGAAATTAAGGAGTCGGTTATATTAACAATCAAAAATGCCATTTTTTTGTACTGAAATGATTTTGAATCTACATATTCTCCAACATTTGTAATAGAATACAAATTCAGAGCTTCTGCAAACAATTTAGACTTTTTATTTTGCTTTGAAAATCAATAAAATTTTTGCTCAAACTATTTAACATTCTTTGACATGATCATTTATTCATTACAACAATCATACTTAAAAGCAAACTTTTTATTTTAAAAAGTAAACATAACAGACATTTGAATTCTAAGTAAAAAGTACCTCTCCATTAGCAAGTTTAAATATAAACGGTGCTTCTCGCTTATGACTTGAATCAATGAACGTTCCGTCTTCCAAATGTAGCGTGTAATGTTGATGAATCGTATCACCTGTCTGAGCTTTGCGACATTGCTTTTCGTCTATTTTGTGTGTTACCTAAAATCGCAATTCGATTCCGCGATAATATATCTTTCACCTATTATTACAATAAATGAGGAACAAGTTTTATTTCTTCACACTTAAATTCTTTTTCTTCTGATTTAAAATTGCTCGACTTATTACATTTTTATTAAAAATATTTCTAATAGTTTATTATTTTTTAATACGTGTATTTGAAGCATTTTATAAAACTTGCCGAATAATACTACTATGAATTTAAGTACTAAGTTCTTCTTTATTAATTAATTCAATTTTTTTAATTGACACTTCTGGTAATTATGCATTATGAATAAATTTGCTTGTGATACTTCAAAATTTTTTTATTATTATGCAAGTTTTATAACTGAAAAAACTTTTCAACATTAAAATAATAAAACTTAAATTACTAAAATATGATGATATAAAATTTCTTCGTAATTGAAATTTTTCAAAAAAATATCTCTGAAATTTTTATTAGTCACGATTGTAAAATTTCAAAATATTTCCAATATTTAAATAAAGTGGATAATAATTTGAAAATTTTCAAAGGCCTTTAAAAAAATTAAATATGGAAACATGCCTGAATCTGTAGGCCATCTTCATCTGTCCAGGAATCCCCTGGAACTGGCCGAAAGAAGTCCACTAGCTGAACAGTGTAGTACAACGTTTGTCCACCTTTGATATCATCACGATCTCGACCGCTATCACCGAATCCCAAATGTGATGGAATGATTACTTTTCGTTTTTCACCTATACACATACCAGTCATTGCCCGATCCATGCCAGAAATAACTTGACTTTTACCTAACGTAAATACATACCTGAAAAAACACATAGCAAAAAAAAAACATCATCGACGCTATTAATAATTTTCAAAGATTAATTAAGATAAACTATACTAAATTTTGCAATTTTTATTTCAGATAAACAATAAGAATAATTCAAATTATCATTGTTATAAAATGATTTTAAAAATTTAGCAAACTAATTTTATTATATATCTTAGAAACTATAATACTTAAAACATTAAGAAATGAATGACAAGCAAATAGCTCTAATTTTTATTAAAGTTGTAAACTGCTGCTAAATTTGTTTTCAAACTAAAACTGCCAGATTTTAGTCCTTAGCTTTTTTATATCTTTATTTGAGCAATTTGATAACAGTTAATAATTTGAATTTTCACGACAAATTCTAGCTGAATATCATGATTTAATTTCCAACTACATAAATGAATAATGCGATTGTTGTTAAATCATGAGATCCATTTAGCTTTTAATGATCGACTCAATCTTATAAATCAGTTGTGTCTTTCGGATAAATCATACAAAACTCGTTTTTTTCAATTCAATTCGTCATACTTCTGTTTCTAGACAAATAATTGATTCGAATTTACGTATGAAATACGTGAAACCAAATGCGATATTTTTGTAAAAGCCTTTATAATTAATGCATAAAATTTTTAATATTTTCGTCTTAAATGCTGATTATTTTTTCAGCGACGGAATGATACTGTTCTTATGACCTTACGGTTTCTTGCCGAAATTGGATCCTATTGTTCGTCCATCCTTATCTGATAATTTGTAGAACTGCTCGACAATATCACCTGCTTGACTCTTCTGCTTGCATTTCTCTGGTTTGATCGGTTTTATGATTTTAACCTAAATTAAGACTGAAAGTTAAAGATGAATCTAAAGTGTAAATATAATACTTTATTTGAGAAAGAGCATCAGCTTTCTTAACGGTAGATAGACAACGATTAGTGAACCAAAATTTGAAAATGTGGTAATAGTTTGAATTATTTCTGATTGGTAAGAAAAGTGAGTAATGCAAATTTAAGCTACAATCATACAAGATCTCACTAGGATTTTGAAGTCATATTCCAGCTAAACTGATCTTATTTAGGCAAAATCCATGAATAAATAAACTTGTACTTGAACTGAATCAATAAGTTATTAAACTGCGATCTGTATTATTATCTGTTCAAATCAATAAAGTACTACAATTGCAATGAGGGGAAAAACTTACAAAAGATAATTATGCAAAAAAAATTCATCAAACAGTTTGACAGAAAATGCAAATTAAATAAATGAAAAAACATCTGCAAGAAACCAAAGAATGCAAATGTAAAGAGCTTAATAATCGCACCTCCAAGCCATCTTCATCCTTCCAACCTAACTTCTCTTCGACTTCATCCTTACCAAACACGAAACTAAGACATATTATCGCTGTTCCCAGGACAAGACTCAATCTACTGACTTGCATAATTCTGAAATTTATGCAAATAAGTGAATAACAAATTATATCGAAGTAATAATACTAATACTCGTGATGACAATATTAAAAAACAATTACAAAGTTACTTACTGTATTGAACACTGTAATAAAAGTCTTTCACAATTTCCACAACTTAATATGATTTACTGATACAATAATCATTTGATTATGATCATAGTAAATGAAAAAACTATCGTTAAAAATATGTATTTTTAAAGTAAACAAATATGATTTATTTTCATAATTAGTTAATAAATATTCTTTGAAATTTATGACATATCTTGCAAAACAGATCATTTTTAAATCCAAATTTTATTGTAAAAACAAACAAAACTGATTTTGGCAATCAATCCTGAACTAAATTGCAGTATATAGTAAGTATAATAATAATGATTATCATTATCTTATATTATAAAATGTTAAGCTTGCTGATACCAATTATCATAAGTATCCATATTAAATTATTATTATTATTATTATTATTATTATTATTACTATTATTATTATTCTGTTTTGATTAATCTAGCTCAATATAAGACTCTGAATTATAATTCTGCTAGATACCTTAAAGTTTTAAGAATACTTAATAATGTAAATGGCTTTTGAAAATACCTAATAACGTCAAAATTAATATTATTTGCACAAAATACTTCACGTTCATACGTTCACTTTCGTTTTTATTTTCGAAGTAAATTGACACTTATACATACGTGATGAAAATAAAGCAATAAACGCAAAATACAAACAAATAAATAAAAATTAAAGAATGCAAAA